CCCGTGCCATAGGTTCGCCACCACTGTTATAGAGCCATGGTGGTGCAGTGATTAGAATGCAGTACTGCAGTCTACTTCTGCTGACTGCCAACTGCCAGCAGTTTTTGGCTGTTTGATTCCCACCAGCTCGAGGTTGGCTCAGCCTTCCATCCATCCAAGGTCGGTAAAATGAGGAGCCAGATTGTTGGGGGCAATAGACTGAGTCTATAAACTGCTTAGGGCTGTAAAGCACTGTGAAGCGGTATATAAATCTAAGTGCTATTGCTTTTACAGGAAATTCATTGCAATTCAGTAGTTTTACCTCCTTGCTTTCATATTTTACTTTCTTAAATTACTCAGAATTAAACCTCCTCATACATAACTTTATTTTCTCCATGACTGAAGTGTTTTATAGTTTTACAATCGTGAAACAAACACCGGAGAAGTATGTATGACCCCAAAAGCAGGACAAAAATGAATCATATCCATTTTTCTCTAGGGAAACTCCAAAACCTACAACCTGGGTATATTCCTTCATCCTAACTCAAGGTGAGACACGAGATATCCTTCTCCACCCAAAGGAAATGACAGTGAGTCAGGGATGCAGAATCTGGAAATACATGGCTTGCAGAGTTTCTTTTAAAAGTCATTTCCCTATATTGATTTCTGTACACAATCCAACCCAGTTACTGTTTTTAGAACATACTGGTGCCAGGAAAAATGACCAAAGCCAAGCACAGCACTGTACAGAATTGGTACACACCATCAAAAGAGGTAAAAAAAACAACAAGAACCACATATTTATATAGAAAAGGAATAACATGATGCAACTAAGTTGACTGGAATTGGAGCCTGATATACTTAATATGCTTAAGAATCATTGGAGAATGGAGAAATCACAGCAAAAGCTAACATACTTGCATTAGCTGCAAAGTTAATGACAAGCCACACAAAGCAGCCAGGATGACTCAATTGTTTGAGAACCATCAGCAAGTTGTCACAGTTTCTAAGATGTTGTGTGACTGCATCCCTATGGAACACAGAACTCTAGGACTGAGAAGCATTGAGTATTTATATGATAGCTATAGCAGTGTTTGCTAATAGTTAGTGCCATAGTTAGTGTCTGCTAATCCAAAAAAAGAAAAAAAATCAGAAATGGCAAGGTTTTGGGTGTGCTCCTTACAGAGAAATGCAAGGCGGGCAAATAAAGAAAAGTACCAAGAGGAGGAAATAAATACAGGGATCAAATACTATATAAAACTGTGTGGGGAAGAGACTGATTTATATACTGTATTAGAAAATGACAATGATCAGGTCAAATCATTTGTCCCTCTGGTCCAGCAGATTTTCAGGAATGTCTTTCATCACCTTTTATACTTTTAGAAATGATGAATGTCAAGGATTTTGCTACCGAAACAGCAGGGATATTGCTGGCCTTCAAAGGAATTTCAAGCCAATGGTGGAGGCATTTTGGAAATTGCACATCTGGAAGATGATAGGTGGCCTATCTCAACCGACAGAAATCTGCACGTGAAATGTGTGCTTCCTTCCCTGCTACGATGGCAGAAAATACCAAAAAATGTTGGCAAAGGGTTGAAGAACAAGCTGGAGGCCAAATGAGGCCTTGGCCATGAGTACGCTGGGAAATAAATGAAGAAAGGGGAATGAAGTCTTGAAGTCTGAGCCTGAAAGGCCAATCACGGAGGAGCAACTAAAAGAGGCAGAGAGAGCTTGAGGCTACAGAAGCAACTAAGTTGCAAGTTGGATTCATGCGCAATATTGGTGGCTCCTGGAAAAAAGCAAATCAAAAGAGGTAGGCTGCCAGGTACGTCAGCTCTTAATGAGCTAAGCCAGAGGTCCCCAACCTTTTGGGCACCAGGGACAGGTTCCACGGAGAGAGGTTTTTCCGTGGACCAGAGGGTGCGTGGTTTTGTGTGCTGCCTGCATCTCACAGATGGGGCTTTGCTTGTTTGTGCGGACAGATTGCTGGCATGCTGCGGCCCAGTACTGTTCCACAGACCGGGGGTTGGGGACCCCTGAGCTAAGCAGCATCCCACCAAAGAAGGCAAACAGCTAACTCTAGAGATCAGAATTCACACCTGAGTTTATACAAGGCTATGATAAAAATCTACTTCCTCTTCCTCCTGAAGCAAATAAATACTCTATAGTTCTTTTAAAAAATAATCACTGAAATTTCAGGAGTGGGGTCAGAATTTTTCTTTCTAGACAATATAAAAAAAAATCTGGCAAATACTGGGATGCAGGACCACCCCAGTTGCAAGGACGGTTTTGGACTGGCATGGATCAAAGCAGAGCACTGGAACATGGGCAGTGTTGATTTCTTCCTATGCCCTGAGATTGTGCAGAATGTCTTGTAATTTTAACTTGCATACATCCAAGATTTAGGAGGGTGGGAGAATAACGTTCCCATCGAAGAACTCCTTGCTTTCAAGGCTAGCATGAGCCTTGTAACTTTTCATTGTAAGCTCTAGAAACAAGAGGTAGAAAAGAGAGAATATCTTTGCCTATAGAGTACTGCCAAGGGCGTTTAAAAACAGCAGCTTTTATTGAACACAATATTCCCAGAACACAAAGAGAGAGAGAGAAAGAAGTGGTGTGGTAGATAAGGGAGCAGCACCAGGCAGCCACATATGAAATTACTGCAGTGACCTTGAATAAAAGAGCCATCAGGAAGGGAACAGGAGGCAGTGAAGAGGATAACCAGCAATCATTCCAGACTGCCAAGAATTCCTTATGTTCGTGACACATTCCAGAAGAAGAGCTGCTGCCCAGTCAATAGGGAATGGTAGGGCAAACTCTCCTGTATCCTGATGCCAGGTTTTCTCAGCTGCAACAAACCAGAGAAGGCATCCCTCTCACATGGCTCCAGGTTGTTGTTTTTTTTAAACAGACAAGGCTTGGAAAAAGAGTTTCCTGGTGGACTGGCTCATCATTTCTGAGTTGCCCAATAATATCCTGCCTTGTTTTTGGAGGCATCGTCCATATTTCAGTCCCCATCAGAGGAAAAAGAATAGTCCTAACTTCAGAACTGGATAAATCCAGGGAAAGCATACCAGTGGGAAGAAAATATGGATAGGAAAGGACATAAAGAAGAGGCGAAATGGACTATTTTGCAACCCCCATCAACTTTGCTGCTCTCCCTTTTCCTTCCTTGGTTGTCTCTCCATAGAGGGAAAAGTAGGATAAGCTGCTGTATGTTCCTCAGAGTAAAGGACTTCTCTTTTACTTGGGCATCAAAAGCACTGACAGCCTTGTAAAACTAAGGATGGAAAGAAGCCATTTCTTTTGCTCAGGTGTGGTAGTAAATGAATGGACGCGAATGGCCATGTGGAGTGGTGGAAGCAATTTGTAGCAGAGTATAATTCTCCAGCACTGGAGACAAGCATGAAAGGAAGGCTACGTCACTGGGTATAATCCTCCAGCACTGGGTTCAAGCAGTTGTCTTTAAAACTCCAAGAAATTCGGGGTTTCTGAGAACAAATTTCTCCAGGGAGATTCCCATTTCAAGAACTTTTCCTCTTTTTTTTTTTAATTTGGTTTGTCCCCACCGCTTCTCTGAGAAGTCAAGGCAAGAAACCGACTTCCTCATCCTTTGAAGAAGCTGCTAGACTGGCATCTTAACTCGAACAACCTTCAATTGATTGGAAGGGACTGAGGGGACTTTAAAAATTAAGGGGAAATACTGAAACTGGTAGAATTAGAACAATTCAAACTTTCCACAGGAGTAGAGCTGACCCAAAACACAAAAGCACATTGCCAGAGAAAGCGACCTCAATGGTTTCATAATGCAAGCAAGCAAACCAGCCCTGCTGCAATAGATGCGTTCATTCTGCCAGAGAGGGCTCTGGGCTTCTTCCCCGAGGACTCCTACCTTGATGCCACCTCTGATGGCATCTCTGAAAGAGGGACCTTCCCCAGCTGCGAAACCGAGGAGAAACTTGGGTTGATTCGAGGCGTCCCTTCGAGTCAAGGAGCCCTAGTGGGTGGTCCTGCTCACGGGCCGCCACGTGCTTCGGGACCCTCGGCTGGCACTCACCGCTCTGCCCCCTTGTGCGCGCATGCGACGAGGCGGCAGGCAGCCCAGCCCCACCAGCCGGCGTTACATAATCTTGCCGCGATCCCGGTCTGGTCCCGGGAGCCAGAAAAAGCCACAGGCAAACGAACAAGGGGTGGGGTAACTGGGGTGCCGGCTCGATTAGGAACACACACGCACAACCTGACTACCAGCGTGGAGAACACACACGTACGCACCGGGTGGGGGGAAATCCAGAGGAGTTGCTGGAGGCAGCCGCTGCCTAGCAGAGGCCCGATCTTTCTAACCAAATAAGCGGGGGGAGGGGAGGGGGAGGGAAGCGGGGACCGTCGCGAACCGGCGGCCTCAGCGGCAGCAGGACACCACACCTCGCAAGTAACAAGCAAGAGCCGGGAGGAGGGCGACCGACCTGCTATCCCAGGCTACCCGCCGCGCCACCGTCATTCCGACACTGAGCGAGGGAAGCAGCCTCGTCGGCGCCAACCGCAACCATCGCCTCCTCTCCCTTGCCCCTGCTTTAGGGCAGTATCCTCGGCGGGAAAGAAAGAAGCGAGTATCTCCAGACGTGGCCGAAAACTTCAGGCAGTGGCAGCCGTAGTGCGGGGAGCCCGCGGAGGGGGAGGGGAGGCCACGGGGCGGGCGGGGGAAGCGTCCCTGCGGCTGAGTGTTGCCAAAGTACTGCTGACCCTCGGAGCGGGCTTCACTGCAGTCAGGAGAGCTCTCGGCGTCCAGAACTTTCCTTCACTCCCTCCGCCCTCCCGGATGACTTTTCCAGTCGAGCCGTTGCCGCCGTCATACCTGCCGCCTCGGGTTCCTGCTCTTCGCCAGGGCTTGGTTCGGCAGCGCCATCGGGCAAGAGCGAGCGGAGATGGAGCAGGTTTGCTAGAGACGGATGCGAAGCGATCGCCAACGGAGGAAGAGGAGGAGGGGGAGGAGCTGCGGCAAGAGGGGGAGGGGCCTTCTCACCTCGGGCTTCGCCGAGCTCTTCTTTCCAGGGCCGGGGAGCCCTCGCTGTGGGCGGCAGGTGGCGAGGCCCTCCCCAGCTGCTACCGCAGCCTAGCCCTGCCCACGCGAGCCCACCCGAATCCGTCAGCGCAGCGCTCCGCGCCTAAACCCGCACACCGGGTACCTGGCGCTGAGGTGGGGCGCACCGCCTTTCCACCGCCGCGTCAGGCAGGCCAGGTGCGCGCGCGTTCTGGGTGGGAGGAAGCTTTGTCAGTCCGCCACGGTGGAAAGTTGCTCGGCTCGCCGGACGGGAGTGTTCGGATCATCGCCGGACTCCCCTGCGAGTCCTACCCTGCGGCTGCAACGCTGCTCCTGATAGAACAGGCGTTGGGCACCTTTCTATCCTTTGACCGAACTGCCGCGTACTTTCGCGCCTTCTCTCTGGAAATCTGGAGCGAGATCTGACCGAGAGATTATGAAAGAGGAACTAGTGACTCGCGTGTTTCGGCGGTGTTGTCAGAGGGCACGAAAGGATAACGTGGCCGGGGTCCGGCCAGCCCCTCTCTGCTTTGGGACCGGAGCTGTGCGGGAGGCTCGCTGGTCTTTTCCGTCGCCAGCATTCGTGCTCGGAACCCACAGCTGCAAGCGAGGCCGCCCACCATGCGGCTGATGCTTCCTCAACTCTCTTCAGCGAGATTTTGACAGGCGCGGGAGCCACACTGAAACCGAGGTAAAGCCATTCCCACGAGCGAGGGAACGGCTTTACCATTATAGAGCCTTTCTCCTCCCTTGCCGCCTGCCCCCCCTCCCAAAAAACTCTCTCCAGCTTCTTTTCACGCCCTATTTGAATCGGAGGCGGGCGATTTTCGTGCGCGTGCATTTACCCACCGTACCCACTCTGTTTCCTCATAGTGGGTGATCCCCTCCCATAGTCTCCGGAATGAAAATACCCTCTGTGCTATCCTGCGAACTGGCTCCCTTTTCTCACGAAAGCATGAGACCTCTCTGCATTTTTGAAACCCCACTAAAACACAGGGTGGTCCACGCGCCGGTGTATGGAAGTTCCTCCCCCCCCCCCAGTGGCCCTACCGCTTAGGAAGGTCCTTAGCTTTCCCTTTTGCGCTGGGGGAAAGTTATTAGGGAGCAGCAAGTTCGAAGAAATCCTTTCCAAGCCAAAGTTGCAATTCATCTGGGCAATTGGGAGGTGGGGTGGGGAGCTGGATGGGTCAGCCGATGTAAGACTGCCAAAGAAGCAAGGCCAGGGAGCCAGTCGAGGCACCGGATTTGAGACCTCGTTAAGGATGGCAGGTCTCTTACGGAGACCTATCAGGATGCAATCTAGAGCGCTGCTGCTGTCCTGCACGGGGCCACTGCTGTCCTTGTCCTGGATTTTTCTGGAAAGGTTGGTCAGAGGTTGCTGAGAATTCATCTGGGCTTTTCCCCGGAGATTGCGTGATTACAGCAAACGGCAAAATGCAGAGGGCACCAGAGAGGTGGATTATGGAGCCATCAAATGCAGAAACACTACTACTGACTGTGGCAATGCCAGGAAGTGTGTGTGTGTCATGCTCAGCAGCCCACTGTCATTCTTCAAGTACTGAAAAAAGGGATTTGATCCATCCTCCCCAAACAAATGATATTGGCAAAGATTTTGATATACATGCCATGGTTGATCTGCATTTTTCATCCCTTGGCTTGGACATGGCAGGTGCTTTTTAGTTGTCAGGCTAGTTCTGCAATTAGTAATGAATATATATCCATGACATTTTAAACATACCTGGAATTATAGAACAATCCAGGAATCCAGATTCCTTGAAAAAGAAGTTTTATTCCTGCTTCATTTATAGTTTGCATCAAGGTATCCAATATTTGCATAGAAAAATTTAAAAGCTCTATTGTTACTTTTCAAAGATTTTCTTTCAAAGTAAGAAGCTTGAAAATGCCAAAGCAGAAACGCTTTCTGCAAAGAAAGGTGTAGTAGTAGTGATGGATTTTAATTACTCCAACATCTTTGCGAGAGAAACTTTGCCAAATATGGCTCTTCCAGGAAATGTACATATAACTTTTTCTTTCAAAAGTTAAAGGAAGGCACAAGAGCACATCCTTTAGATCCTAATCAATAAGGAAAACTAGAGGAATATACAGAGAGATGGCTTAATGTGTTTTCCACCAGCCTGTGAGGCAACACAAAGAATGCCAGCATCAATTTGCTCTGTCTTGATAGCCAGCCTCTACTCTGTCCTGTTAACAAAATAGATAGGTGATGCTTTTCTCGGTTTTATTAGAGGCAAATTCAGGTACCGTGATTTGTACCCTATTTTTTCCTCCCACCTGCCAGGCAGGAAAAACAAGCATCAACTGCCTCCATAATAGGAAGGATGAGGGAATCCTCTCTGGAGGCAGGCAGAGGGCAACTAAGGGAAGGGTGGGGAGTGTGCTTGGTAACTTTTAAAGGACCCTATTCCTCCAGGCAGAATTTAGTAGGTGAAAAGCAGCTGTCTCCTCAGATCACTCAAGCTCTTTCTTTCCAAGAAATTACTTTTGGCAGCCCTTACCAGTAGTTGTAAGAAGCAACTGTTCCCCTCCCCTCAAACTCTTCTTCTTCTTGCATTTTGCTGGTGTTTCCCTCCTCTCCCTGTAGTGACTCTCCAGCCCAGGACTCTGCTGCCTTTAGGATGACAAAACCTTCTAGAAAGACACTGATTTCTTTCTAGAGATTTTTTCACCCTTCAGGATAATAGGTCAAGGGTACTTCATTTTGCTGGTTCTACCATCTAGCAGAGCTTATCCATTCTGGTCCCGGAGCTTTCCTAGACTTTAGTGATTATTTCCTTTATTACTGCAAAAGTGTAGTAATATTTACTACCGCAAAAGCAGTTGATTAAGGGTGGGCAAGAACATTCTCCAGACCAAATCAGGTTGTGATTTCCTTCTCCCAATCTTCCCCAGTTTTTCTAAATGTGATCAGCGATCAGAGGAAGGAAGTCAGAAGCAATTGGAAAAGAGGAGCATACCCACAGTCACCAAACCCAATCAACAGAGTCTGGGCAGATTTCAGTTGCTGTTGCATTATCATTAGCATATGCCACATTTGCAAGGTCTGTGTTGGAAGATGATAGAAAACACCACTTTATAACAGGCTAGGCAGGGGTTCTCAACCTTGACAACTTTAAGACTTGTGGACTTCAACTCCCAGAATTCCACAGCCAGCATTGCTGGTGGTGGAATTCTGGGAGTTATAGTCCACATGCCTTAAAATTGTCAAGGTTCAGAAACACTGGTCGTTAGGGGGAAGAGGAAGCATGTGTCCTTCAATGTAACTTAAAGCTAATATCAGGATCTATGGATGTGCCCTTAGTCAAGGAAGTGGAGGTTACAGGAGTAGTAAGGGAGCATGACTGGGAGATGCTGGAATTCTTGATTTGAAAGGAATTTAAACCTGAGTGTAACTAGATTTGAAATGTTTAGAAAGTAGACTTTTATACTTTCAGAGCAATGAAAAATAATCACTTCAAAATCAAACAAGATCAGTAGCAAATAAATTTAATAATAAATAAATAAAAATAGAATTCCAGGGTAGGAAATGCTAATGGAAATGGAAGTCAAGATTTGTGGGAGTTTCTAATGCCCGTGAAACAAAACAAACTATTTGCAGCTGTGTGTTGGGACTACAAAAGGACAAATGTGATTTTATGTTGTATTGACAGACTTATAATTTTCAGTCACAGGGGGATTTGGTCAGATACCATCTCAAGTACTGTTTCCAGTTTCAGATGTCACACTTTTAAGGATTCAGATAAACTGGAATAGATTGAGAGAAGAATAATTAAGGGACCTGAAACAATCCTGAAAAAGTGATTGAAGGAATTGCTTATGTTTAACTTTGAGAAAAATGAGGGAGGACATGATAGCATGTTTGAAATATCCCACAGGAAGTTAGGACTTCACTCTTCTCCTTGCAGAGTGGAGATCTGAAAAAATTGTTTGAAGTTGCAAAAAGGCAAATTTTGTTTGAATGTTAGAAAAAAAAAATCCAACAGAAAGATCAGTTTGATAATGGAACAAATTACACCCTGAAGTGATGGGTTTTCTTTTGCTATAGGTGTTTGAGCAAGGGTTAAATATCCTCTTTCAATGATATTTTAATCATTCATGGATGGAGCAGGAAGTTGGAGATGACGACATAAATGAACCCTTCCAACTCAATGTCTGGGTGATTAAGATAAAGGCCTCATTGACGTTACTTATGTTTGAAGTTGGCTGAAAAGTACACAGAAAGAGGAAAGGGGCTTGCGAAAACCTTTTCCCCTATTCATATTATATCTCTCCAAGACAAAGTGGCTGAGACATTTATTGACTTCCGATGGCAACAATGGATCTATCAGCATGGCAAAGTAGGAGGCTGAGAGCTGTATTTGGCTGGTAGGCACCCAGTAATCCATCCAAATAAAAATTATAATGTACCCTCGCAGTCAATTATGTGACGGTGATTGTATGAACTAGATATTCCCATACAACACACATGGGCAAGCTGTAAACCACACATGGCTCACAACTGCTCTCTTTGTGGTCTATCATCACTCCACTTACTTTTTCTCCATCATCCAGCAGTTTAGCCATTAGGTGGGCTGCCAGGAAGAGATTGTTTCTGAATACAATCGGAACAGGAAAATGGCAAGCTTAATAAAGACAGTGAAGCAGTTGAAGTCTCTGTTCCCATACCTCACTGTGCTCCTTAGTGACAGTGATGTTTCAGTTGCTGATAACAGAAGTGGAACAATAGTGAATTTGATAAGGACTACTGAATAGGGGCCTCAACTTTATGAGAGAGGAGAGGAGGAGCGGGAAAGGGAAAGGGAGAGAGAATGAGCACAGTATATAGATGGAAAAATCAATTCAATTCACTTGCACAGCTCTTAAGGATTTCCACTGGGCCAAGGTGGCTACCTCCATATACCATCAATATGAAAATATTGGCTTCATATACCTAGTTAATATTCTTCAGCTGGCGAGAGAACTTACTGTATTCAAATGTATTTGTCTACAAAAAGCCTGCAGGAAAGACATAATTTCTAGTCTTTCATAAATAAAACTTCTCTGATACTATTTATGTGTGTGTACATATATAATTTATTTTGTTATAAAAATACCACTTAGACAAAGGAAGCTTTAGTCTTCTCTAGAGCATTCTTCTTTACAGTTTCAAAGAGGAAAACCATTTTGTTCACCATTGAATTCAGCAGTCCATAAACCTGAATGAAAGATCAAATTCAAATAAGCTTTTGTTTATAAGTAAATACTGAGTCTATGTGGATATACAATGAACCAAACCAACATAGTTTTACAAATAATTTTATTTTTCCAGAACAAATATTGCTCAAGAGGGTATTCTGTAATAGTTTATACCATACATTTGGACAGTGCTTTTTTTGTAAAAAAAAAAAAAAAAAAGGTGCTGAACTCACACACGTCATACAACCCGCCTTGCCTACCCTACAAGATTTACCTGAAAAAAACCCTTCAATTTTTAGTTTATCTAAAAGACTAGGATTTTGTTCAAGGCAACTCTTGAAAATCCGTTGAAAAAAGGTGCTGGAACTCTGTTCTGGTGCGTTCTATGACCAAAAAAAGCCCTGCATTTGGAAACCTAAATTTGTTGCTCCATACTTGAAGGTAATGTACAGTTCATATCTGAAAATTATTGAAACTGAAATCCAACAAATAATACAT